TTTTTTTTTTTTTTTTTTTTTTTTTTTTTTTTGCTGGAAGTTTATTACTCTGTATTTATAGTTTGTTAACACTTTCTAGATTGCTTTTTTCACCAAGTGAAAAACAGTCTCTACAATGTTGCCAGCTTATTTGGATTCCCATTCCAGCTGACCACAAAGCTCATGGTAACTTCTGCTTGTAATGGAACACGGAATGTGGCCCCTTCAGGAGAGGTCAGTGGGGATGGGGTTCCTTCCATTGGGGCTTTCTGATCCTTTATTCTTAATCATTAAAGTTAAATTTTAGAAATGTTCTCTTTTGGGCTTAATGTATAGAATAACTTCTTTACAGAAATGTTCTTGTCTTTATTAGTTGTGATATAAAGTTCAAGAAATTAAAGATTAAAATATTAAACATTTAAAAAGTATAGGGCCAGCCCGTGGCTCACTTAGGAGAGCGTTGTGCTGATTACACCAAGGCCATAGGTTCAGATCCCTATATAGGGATGGCGGGTTAGCTCACTTGGGAGAGCGTGGTGCTGACAACACCAAGTCAAGGGTTAAGATCCCCTACTGGTCATCTTTAAAAAAAAAAAAGAAAAAAAGTCTAGTATTGCATCTGTTTTTCTTATTTGAGTATATGTGAAAAACCTAGAATTGTTATGTTTTTACATCATCTTGAGAGTCTTGACAAATTAAACCTTTGGTCTTATTGATGTTATCTCTTCTGTGAGCTTGCTAAGAAACTAATCACCAATAGAGTGATCTTTTCTATTAGAAAACATTTAAATTGCAAAATTTAGATGCTACAGAAGTGATTCTGTTTGATTTTAAGGTACTTTCGAACTCTTCATCTCGTGAACTGACAGGTTCTGGATCCTGGAACAACATGCTGAAACTGGGTGAGGTTGTCAAAAATATTTTTGCTTCCCCCTACCTCCTTCTGCCCATTTTTCTCTAAGTTTTGAGACTATGAAAGGAAAACACTGATTTGGATTGGGATGAGAACAAAGGCATATTTTATCTACAATTCTAAAAAGCAAATAGTTTTCCTTCAGAATTGTCTTTGATATACTGTTGTGTTTTCTATTTGCATCAGGAATAACAAAATAATAAAACTGTGACCCTGCCCTTCAGGAGTTCATCATCTAGTTGAGGAGCAATCTTAGGTTCCCAGTACTCACAGTTTTATGGATTAGGGATTTCTATATTATCCTTAGATCCTAAAATTGAAATGTAATTATTGTATATACTATACAAAATGCTATGGTAAGAACAAGTAGGAACAAGCCAGAATCCTGAGAAATGGTTGTGATGTCTGCCACACAGGCAGGCTTGTAAAGTTTGAGAGGAAAGGGAGGAAGATAAGGAAAATGAGCTTCAGAGAAGTTGTGGGTTCAAAAGTCAAAACCGGAAGAAGGTAAGGAATAGATAAAAATCTTAGACTTGCACTTGTCAAAGATTTTTAGTAAAGTACCTCTGGTAGCAGAGAAGAAGAGCAAAGGAGAATAAACATGTAGCCCTGTGTCTGAGAATCTAGTTCCAAAGGACTTGGAATAAATATGATATTTCTTTGAAGTCTTTTATTTCATTTAAAAAGTTAATGTAAATTTAATTTTATAATCTGTTCATATTATTTGAATGTTTGTGTTTAAATTTATTTGCCATTAAAATTGACATATGTGAAGGGTGGTAGACTTATCATGTGCCTGAGGTGCCAGCACTATATTTCTGTGAGTTTGTGTTGCCTAGTCAAAGAAGCATAGGTATTCTTAGGGCAGATTTCTCACATAAAGAGGATCACAGTCTCTCATCTGAAACCTTTGGAGATGTGATTGGGAATTCAGTATTTTTCATATTTTAGATATGTTGTGTTTATTGAGTATTATGAAAAACTCTATTGGGATCTGCATAGAACTCTATCATCAAACATGAATATTTCTGCAATTAAATAGTGTTTATGCTAGGTGGGATAAATAAAGACTAGCTTCACATCAGTTCAAGTCAGGTTTTACAAACAAATGAGTTTCAGATCAGTTTAGGGTTTTGCTGCAATTGGTTTATGAAAAAACTTTCAGATTTAGAACTCTTTGCATTTTGGAGTCCTCAGGGACTCCAAGCGCCTGTAGTAGAGAATTCCAGCAGAGAATGTGGCTGATGAAATTTTGATTATTTTCTTTTGAATTATAGTAACGATTTTAAAATTGTTGGAAGCCGTCAGTGCAATGTAGTAACATATGACTGGTTTTCATTTTAAAATATTTCTGTTTTCTTGGAAAGAAGAATCTTAATTAGAACAATTTACTCAAATTGATTAGATTACAGAGAATTTGTAATTTTTGAGTTCTTCATTGCCCCTTGTCAGTCCTACCAAGCAAAACTAGGATAGTTTGCTGGTGAATTCTGTTATAGCTTATCTAAGATCAAAGACAAACTAAGCCCTATTGCTTTCCTTTAACTTTTACAAAATTTGTGCTGGATTCCTGTGCCCGTCTATTAATAGAATTTGAAAAAACAAGATATTTAGCTCTACGATGTAGACTGCTCACAGATTTTCTTTCCTAATGCAAACTAGTTCACAGGTGATTTTTTGTTTGTGGGGTTATTTTTGCTTTTTTTTTTCTTCTTCACAATTATAAATGCATTTTTTAAATAGGTAATAAATCTCCTAATGGAATAAGTGACTATCCAAAGATCCGAGTGACAGTAACGCGTGATCAGCCACGCAGGGTCCTTCCTTCCTTTGGGTAAGTGTTAAATTCTACCTTTCTGTAAATGGAAATTTAGTATTTATTATATGTTCACTGTTGTTAAGCATTCTCACTTTTGTTCTATTCGGTAATCTTGTTAAGTAAATACTCTGAGATTAGTAACTTAGTGAATATCATATAGCTAGAGAGAGACTTGAACTGAGGGTGCATTACTTTTTCTACTATATTATATGCCTATAGCTTCTGATTTTGAAAACCTTTTAAAAAAGAATTGTCAGGGGCTGTCCGGTTTGCTCAGTTGGTGAGAGAGTGGTGCTGATAACACCAAGGTCCAGGGTTCGATCCCTATACCAGGCAACTGCCCCCAAATAAATAAATAAATAAATATTTTAAAAAATTTAAAAATTTAAAAATTATCATTCACTTTCTTCCAGACTTTTAAATATATATATAATATGCGTAGAGAAAAGTGCAGAAATCATAAGTGTATATGGCTTGATGAATTTTCATACAGTGAACACACCCATCAGTTCTATAAAATGTTTTTATTTTATTAATAATTTTCTTCTCTCCTTTTTCTTTATTCTGTCTTTCTAGAATTTCTAATGCTTGGATATTAGACCTTCTGGATTGATCTAATTTTCCTATGTATACTCTTCTTTTGTTGTTTTAAAATTTTTTTTGCTGATTTTTTTGTTTTGTTATCATAGTTTGTAAGATGTAAGAGTCCTACCCCCTTTCCCATGGTTTTCTCTTTTTCTGAGCATCCTGCTCTTATTATAAAGATGCAATATTTTTTCTTCTCTCTAAAGCTATTAATTATTTTTAAATTTCTTCTGCCTGCTTCTTCTGTTTCCGTTGAGTGCCCCACCCTCTTGATTTACTTTAGTCTTATCTTTCAACTTAGAGTCTTTATTCAAATGCCTGGTAATCCTTGGCCATCCACTTATATTTAAGAATAAGGCACTAACTAAAAACCAGGGCCCTCTAGAGTTGCATAAATGGCTGACTGTAGGGCTAGGATGAGAGTACAAAGTGAATCTGGAACATCTTGTGCCATCAAGTAAAAGAGCGCTCAAAAACTATGTGGAAGGCTGGCTGGTTACTTGGTTAGAGTGTGGTGTTGTAATACTCAGGTCAAGGGTTCGGATCCCTGTACCAGCCAGTCACCAAAAAAACAAACAAACAAAAAATATGGAGACATACTAACCTGACACAGGTGGGAGCTTAAAGGGGCTTTCACTGGCCAAACTGGGGACTATTGAAACATCAAAATGAATATAGTAATACAGATGCTAATAAATAAATAAAGAAATAAATATATAGTGTGGGGAGGGGAAAAGATCTTCTTTAGAGTACAATGCCAACTAATAAATGTAGAAGAAATGATAGAATTAGAAAATACCCATCTTGTAACTATCATAGTAATAATTGATATGGACAGGAATCATCAATTGAACTGAAACTAGTAAGTAAAACTTCCATGAAGTTTGGGGATATTTACATAAACTCAAAATATCTCCCCACAAAGTACTTATTAGTTACAAAGGGAAAAATAGTAACTTTAGAGTAGAGACACCTGCCTAATACCCCACCACCTTAACCAAAGGATCAAAGTTAAATCACCAGCAGTGGGACAAACTAACGTCATGGTCTCCAGATATACTGCACTGAGACAGACATCAATGCTTAATATAATATTCTTGCAACGACCAATAATCTGAGTTGAGTCATGAGAAAACTGGTTAAACTTAATTTAAGGTTCATTCTACAAAACACCAGGACTGTGCTCTAACCAGTTCAGCTAACTGGCCTGCCACTCATGCGCCTCTAATCCTAAGTTCTTCAGTGCATTTATTTCTTAAGAATGAGGACATTCACTTACATAATCATAGATTACTGGGGGCTGGCTGGTTAGCCCAGTTGGTTAGAATATGGTGCTGATAACACCAAGGTCCAGGGTTTTATCCCTGTACTGGCCAGCTGCCACAAAAAAAAAAAAAAAAAAAAAAAAAAAAAAAAAAAAAAAAGAGATTATC